CAAGAGAAATGTGGAGAACAGACTGCAGAGTGTCCATGCCACTGGGGAGTGATTTCTCACTTTCCCTCTCTCTGCCTCCACCAAGCACATGTGCCCTACAGCAAAAAACGAAAAAAGAAAAACAAACAAAAAACAAAAACATAAAACAAGCAAAATAGATTCTATCTAGGTCATCTCCTTTATCTAAGCCTTAAGTTACTCAGCTACTTTGTCACAGAACTCTGCTCTTTCCTGCTCCAGAAAGGGCAGGCTGCGATGAGGATTCTGGGGGTGAGCGACTTTGCAAGCTCTAATTGTGCTTTGCCTTTTGGCTACAAGGTGTGTGTGGTCAATGGAGAGACCGTGGAAGTGAGGCCACACCGCAATCCCTTCTCCTCCACTCTCCTCTCAGGACTGGGGGCATGTATGCCCATGCCCGGTGCAACTTTCAAACTGCTGGGTCTAGGACTCGAACCATGGCCGGCCACGTGGGAGTCTGGCACCTTAACCACTCCATCTTTTCAGGGAGAGCCACTTCATGCACAGAATAGCCCAAGTAGCCACCCGTGCAGCCACCTTTGCAAACAGGCATACACGAATGCACTGCTTTGACCCCAAAAGGCAAGGCTGGTCACCCCACTTCTTTGAACACGGATGTCGCCCTTTACTCCATCCCCCTTCTATGTCAGTTGGTGCAGAGTCAGGGGTAAGCTAGGCACGAGGTCCAGTGCAGCCCACTGCAGGGGGACCTTGGGCATCCCCGTGGGAGTCCAGATTGAAGGTGCGTTCTCACTGCCACGGGAGCCAGGGTGATAGCTACACCCACTGGGTGGCAGAGGCCTGGCTTGGGGCTTAAAGCTGAGAGTCGGGAAGGTTGGGGGAGAGGTTGATCATGTTTTGCAGGGAGCCATGCAGCTTGGGGACCCTCGGGTCTGAAGTCCTAGCGTGTACACAGAGTGAATGAGCTCTCGTCCTTGGTTTGAAAATGTGTGTGACGAGCCTTCCACGGCCAGTGGGTATGCTGAGGGTTCTATTTTTCCAAGCATAACAGTACCCTCTTGGCAATTTTTTAAATTTTTCTGCATTTTAGGTTTTTGCCATAGGATGTGTGCACTTGCCCAAGTGAGACGGAGAGACAGAGAGAGGCAAGGTGAGAAATCACCCCCCTCCCCCAAGGGGCATGGCCACCCTGCTTTCCCTTCTCTTCTGTTCTCCTCTCAGGATTTTGGGCACACACACACAAGTATCTCATGTGATTTTCAAGCCACTGGGTCCAGGATTTGAACTATGGTTGGCCATGCAGGAGTCCAGCACCTTAACCACCACGCCACCTGCTGGCCCCATAGTACCCTCCTAGCTGTGAGTTGCCTGGAGCTGGTGAGGGCTCTTGGGTCTCAGCAGCCAGCAAGTTTCCTCCAGCTCAACAGCTAAAGGCAGAATGGGCCCAGCCCGTCTCACCTGACTTGGGACAGGCCAGATGAAAAGCCCACCAGACCAGGAGCACCAACTCCCCTCCCAAGCACCTCGTGGCCTGCAAGGCTGAGTTGTGAGTGGGAAGGGGGGGGTGCCAAGAGCGGACCTGCCTGCGTGAACTTCACATCTCCGACAGACAGACTGCCAGGAACGCTTTTGGAAAATGGTTCCATCAAAACAAAACAAAACCAAACAAAAACAAAAAACAAGCCAGTCTTTTAAAAAGTGTGGGAATAAGAAGAGGGAATTAGGAATCCATATGAAACTCATTTCATGCAGTTCTGTAGCCACACACAGTGTGTGTGTGTGTAACTGATTTCAGATGCAGCTCCCCACGCTGCAAACACTGGGTGCACCCCAGTTCGGGGACAATGGATTTCTCTACAGACCCCGAAGAATGCTTCTCATTTATGGGCTTAAAAACCTGAAGTGGGGGAACCAGCAGTTAGTGTAATGGCTATGTCGCTGGACTCCCATGTAGTCGACCGCGGTTTGCGTCCCGGACCCGGTGGCTTAAACTCACGCCGGGCGCGTGTGCGTGCGTGCCCAAGATCCCGGGAGGAGAATGGAGGAGAAGGGATTGTGGCATGGCCATCCCCCCTGGGGGGTGATTTCTCGCTTTCTGTCTCTCTGTCTGTCTGTCCGGTGGGCGCATGCGCCCTATAGCAAAAACCTATTTAGAAAAAAAAAAAAAAAAATGCACCTTACAGCAAAAACCTAAAATAAATAAATAAATAAGTGAATGAATGAATGAAAGGAAAGGAAAGGAAAAAGGAAAAGGAATGGAGAGAGAAATGAGAAGGCTGAGTTGAGCTATGCGTAGCCAGGCGCGCCCTCCCCCCTTCCCCCCCACACACAGCAGAAGTAACTGGAGACCTCTCATAGCCACCTGTCCCAAGCCAAGTGCAGACGCCCAGCAAGTTACCATGACGTGCAGTGGCATTTTGGTTGGCCCCTTGGCCGAGATCTTCTCCCACAGGCCCCTCCTCACATAGCGGACAGTGGTGCCTGCGATCTGGAACTCTCCGGGGAGCTCGATCTTCCAGTCGCTGTTGATGGACCTCTTACTGGAGTCTTGGAGAGCTAGAGAGAGAAGTGAACAAGGCAGAATTAGGGGGCGGCTAGCCTCCCTCAAAAGGAAATTGGTTTGCCCTGAGCTGGGGGTAGGGATGGGAGAAGCTGGGAAGAAGAGAGGTCTGAAACGAAATTAAAAACTCTGCTTATAGCTAGCAAAGACCTGCAGATTCTGGTGGGGAGGTCCATGAGGCCAGATCAAATGAAAGGGAAGGGGGCGGTGGATGGAAGCACCATCCAACCCAATCACTTTTTTTCTTTTTTGGAGAGCTTTTTGCTATAGGGCGCGTGCGCTCGCCAGACAGACAGAGAGAGACAGAGAGACAGAAAGTGAGAAATCACCCACCAGGGAGGATGGCCACGCCGCAATGCCTTCTCCTCCACCCTCCTCTCGGGATCTTGGGCATGCACGCACACACGCCCAGTGTGAGTTTAAGCCATCAGGTCCAGGACTCGAACTGCAGTCGAGTACTTGGGAGTCCAGTGACATAGCCATTATGCCATCTGCTGGTCCCAGCTTTCAAAATTGTTCTCACATGTGCACGTGTGTATTTGGCTTCGGGCTGGCCCAGTGGCCTAGCTGTCAAGAGAGCTGGATTCCACATGGCCAACGACAGTTCGAATCCTGACACCAGTGGCTGGAGAAACATGCTGTGTGTGTGTGTGTGTGTGTGTGTGTGTGCACATTCCATGGAAAAATGGAGAAGGGACTGTGGTGTGACCATGCCCCATTGATGTGCTTTCTCCCTCTTCCTCTTTGGTGAGTGTATGTGCTCTCTGGTAAATTAAAAAGAAAAAGAAAAAGAGCTTCCTTGGGACCAGCAGTTAGCGTAATGGCTATGTTGCTGGACTCCCATGTAGTCGACTGCAGTTCGAATCCCAAACCTGGCGGCTTAAACTCACTCCAGGCGCATGTGCGTGCGTGCCCAAGATCCCAAGAGGAGAATGGAGAAGGGATCCCAAGAGGAGAAGGGAAAAACCTGTGAGGCTTTACAGAGCAGGGTTTGCAGAGCCTGTGAGGTTGCACAGAACAGGGGTTCCGAAGCTGTGATGCTGCTCAAAGCAGAGATTCAGAGCCCAGAAGGCTACACAGAGCAGGGTCTGCAAGGCCTGTAAGGCTTTACAGAGCAGGGTTTGCAGAGCCTGTGAGGTTGCACAGAACAGGGGTTCCGAAGCTGTGATGCTGCTCAAAGCAGAGATTCAGAGCCCAGAAGGCTACACAGAGCAGGGTCTGCAAGGCCTGTAAGGCTTTACAGAGCAGGGTTTGCAGAGCCCATTGAGCCTGAGGCTGCTGCACAGAGCAGGATTTACAAAGCCTGTCGAGGTTGCACAGAGTAGGGTTTGCAGAGCCTGCTGAGGCTACACAGAGCAGGGTTTGCAGAGCCTATGAGGCTGGTGCTCCAGGTTACCCCTGCACCTGACCCCTTCCTAAGGTCTGTGCATAAGGCCCTCTTTTCCTTACAGTTCGAATCCTGACACCAGTGGGTGGAGAAACATGCTGTGTGTGTGTGTGTGTGTGTGTGTGTGTGCACATTCCATGGAAAAATGGAGAAGGGACTGTGGTGTGACCATGCCCCATTGATGTGCTTTCTCCCTCTTCCTCTTTGGTGAGTGTATGTGCTCTCTGGTAAATTAAAAAGAAAAAGAAAAAGAGCTTCCTTGGGACCAGCAGTTAGCGTAATGGCTATGTTGCTGGACTCCCATGTAGTCGACTGCAGTTCGAATCCCAAACCTGGCGGCTTAAACTCACTCCAGGCGCATGTGCGTGCGTGCCCAAGATCCCAAGAGGAGAATGGAGAAGGGATCCCAAGAGGAGAAGGGAAAAACCTGTGAGGCTTTACAGAGCAGGGTTTGCAGAGCCTGTGAGGTTGCACAGAACAGGGGTTCCGAAGCTGTGATGCTGCTCAAAGCAGAGATTCAGAGCCCAGAAGGCTACACAGAGCAGGGTCTGCAAGGCCTGTAAGGCTTTACAGAGCAGGGTTTGCAGAGCCCATTGAGCCTGAGGCTGCTGCACAGAGCAGGATTTACAAAGCCTGTCGAGGTTGCACAGAGTAGGGTTTGCAGAGCCTGCTGAGGCTACACAGAGCAGGGTTTGCAGAGCCTATGAGGCTGGTGCTCCAGGTTACCCCTGCACCTGACCCCTTCCTAAGGTCTGTGCATAAGGCCCTCTTTTCCTTAAAGAAAACCCTCCAAGTGAAATTTTTGAGACTCTGCGCGTTCCTGCCTCCCTCAACCCTGGGTATCAATTCTTTGTGAGAATTTTGGGATCAATCAGCTAGTATTTGACATCAGGGTTTTTGAACCTAGGAAAAGACTCAACGGGACTATGCAGAGAATTACAACCACTTTGATTTCCTAGCCAAATAACAGCGGTCAGAGCAAAGGGATTCCCCCAGAGCCTTGATTTCATCTGCGATGCCTACAGTTCTGATTTGCTGGGGAAGAGATTTTCCCTTGCTGCTTCTGCCTGGGCCAGAGGTTGAATGTTTTAAACCACCGCCCAAAAAATCTAACAGAAAGTGCTTTTGAGGCTTTTGCTTAGAAGCTTCTCACTAGAAGGAGTTCCACAAGACTCTATGTGGGTGGATACGTGTTTTCCTTTGTAAGTGTGCAGGAGGGGACCTCCAGAGTGGCTGGGAACAGGGGACCCTGTGCTGAATGTCTGTTTTAATTTGGGTTCTTCTTTCCCCTTATGAACCTAACCTTTCCTTTCCTTTCCTTTCTTTCATTTCCTTTTTCTTTCCTTTCCTTTCCCCCTTCCCTTCCTTCCCTTCCTTCCCCCCTTCTTTCTTTCTTAAAAGAGATGTTTGCTATAGGGCTCATGTGCTCAATGGAGAGCCAGAGAGAGCCAGAGAGCCAGAAAGCAAGAAATCACCTGCCCACCAGGGGGATGGCCACACTGCAATCCCTTCTTATCCCTTCCGCTCTCGGGATTTTTGGATACACACACACACACACACACACACACACCCTCCCAACAGGATTTTAAAGCCACTGGGTCCAGGACTCGAACCATGACTGGCCACATGGGAGTTCAACCACATAAACATTATGCCATCTGCTGGTCCCTCTATTTTTCTTTTTTGGAAGAATTATTTATTAATATTAATTTGCTAAAGGGCATGTGTACTTTACAAAGAGACAGAGACAGAGACAGAGACAGACAGACACATGGATGGACAAAGTGAGAAATCAAGCTGCCAGGTCCAGGACTTGAACCGCAGCTGGCCATGTGGGAGTCCAGCTCCTTAACCACTGTGCAACCTGCTGGCCCCCCTTACGGACATCTGCACACTGAACCTGGATTTCCAGGCAGGGTAGAATGGAGCTACCACCACTCCAGGGAGCAAGGAGGGGTGGGCCTGGTGGGCAGGACAGCTCCCCAGAGCTGGCTGGAAGCAGATACAGACTCTGACCCTGCCCACATGCCTTTCTCTGGCATGAACTGTGCACAAGCCAGGATGGAGCTCTTTGTCTCTCTCTCTCTCTCCGTCTTGGATGCAGAGAGACGACGTGACCCACACTCCACCTACTTCTAATCCTGGCACTGAGTCAGCGCCTCGTATTTCTCCTCGGAGCCCTGCCAGCGCTGTTCTTAGCTATGGATACGAACTGCGAGGCATTTCCTGTTTCAGGTGGTTTGGAGCAGCGAGCCAGCCAGCGTGGGCTGGAGGGGAGGCGGGGTCAAATTCCTCAGCAACTGCTCCCTGCACATGTGAGAAGAATTCAAAGTGACACCGGGTTGACTTCCAAAGCACCCGGCCCCGAGTGGAAACAAGGCCCATTTGAACTAACTTTAGAAACAGAAGGAGTGCGGACCACCTTCGGGCTTGCCCTTGTCTGGGTGCCAAGCCCGGGAATACTGGATTATGACTTTCAGATAAGATACGTGGGGGAATGCTGCTGGCTCCGACCTCCCATGGAGGTTCCGGGCTCCTGGGGAGCTGAGAGGTTACCCTGAGACATTACGTTCATTTCCCCGGGGTGGAGGTTTGCTTCTCTGAAGTACACATGGCAAAAGAGTCATGATGGGCAGGTGCTACATGCTCTCCGGTGACAAATCCCGGCGGGTCAGTCTCTGGCTGTGACAACACCCTGGAGTCCCCACAGTGCTGAGAGCAGGGGCAGCCTGGGCACCTCTGACACAGGGCACTGTTTGCATCCTAGGTCTCGTATGAAGAACTCACATAGGTGACCCGTATTGCTCTCTCCAGTTTGCGAGAACTGGGCTGACTTTGCTGGGGATGATGGGAAGGCTGGGAATTGGGCCTACGATACACTTAGAAGATCCTCTCTGGCTAAGAAGTGTATTTTTCGAGTTGTGATCTGGAGCTACCACCACTCCAGGGAGCAAGGAGGGGTGGGCCTGGTGGGCAGGACAGCTCCCCAGAGCTGGCTGGAAGCAGATACAGACTCTGACCCTGCCCACATGCCTTTCTCTGGCATGAACTGTGCACAAGCCAGGATGGAGCTCTTTGTCTCTCTCTCTCTCTCCGTCTTGGATGCAGAGAGACGACGTGACCCACACTCCACCTACTTCTAATCCTGGCACTGAGTCAGCGCCTCGTATTTCTCCTCGGAGCCCTGCCAGCGCTGTTCTTAGCTATGGATACGAACTGCGAGGCATTTCCTGTTTCAGGTGGTTTGGAGCAGCGAGCCAGCCAGCGTGGGCTGGAGGGGAGGCGGGGTCAAATTCCTCAGCAACTGCTCCCTGCACATGTGAGAAGAATTCAAAGTGACACCGGGTTGACTTCCAAAGCACCCGGCCCCGAGTGGAAACAAGGCCCATTTGAACTAACTTTAGAAACAGAAGGAGTGCGGACCACCTTCGGGCTTGCCCTTGTCTGGGTGCCAAGCCCGGGAATACTGGATTATGACTTTCAGATAAGATACGTGGGGGAATGCTGCTGGCTCCGACCTCCCATGGAGGTTCCGGGCTCCTGGGGAGCTGAGAGGTTACCCTGAGACATTACGTTCATTTCCCCGGGGTGGAGGTTTGCTTCTCTGAAGTACACATGGCAAAAGAGTCATGATGGGCAGGTGCTACATGCTCTCCGGTGACAAATCCCGGCGGGTCAGTCTCTGGCTGTGACAACACCTGGAGTCCCCACAGTGCTGAGAGCAGGGGCAGCCTGGGCACCTCTGACACAGGGCACTGTTTGCATCCTAGGTCTCGTATGAAGAACTCACATAGGTGACCCGTATTGCTCTCTCCAGTTTGCGAGAACTGGGCTGACTTTGCTGGGGATGATGGGAAGGCTGGGAATTGGGCCTACGATACACTTAGAAGATCCTCTCTGGCTAAGAAGTGTATTTTTCGAGTTGTTTATTTATTTATTTTCCTCCTATATGGTGCGTGCACTCGCTGGAGAGACAGAAAGTGAGAAATCACCCCCGCTCTCTAGGGATGGCCACGCCGCTCTCTAGGGATGGCCACGCTGCAATCCCTTCTCCTCCAGCCTCCTCTCAGGATTTTGGGCATGTACGCACATGCGTCCAGAGTGAATTTTAAGCCACTGTGTCTGGGATTTGAACTGTAGTCGACCACGTGGGAGTCCAGTGTCTTAAGCACTATGCCGCCTGCTGTTCCCCACTCCAAATTCATTCAATGAAAAGTACAGCTCTAAACTTTTTTTTTTAGTTTTGCCATAGGGCACATAAGCTTGGGTGCGAGGGAGAGGGTGGAGGGAGAGAGAGAAAGACAGAGAGATATCATCACCCAAGGGGAATGGCCATGTTGTAATCATTTCTCCTTCATCCTCCTCTTGGGATTTTGGGCACACACACATGCGCTCCTGGTGTGAGTTTCCAGCCACCGGGTCTGGACCTCGAACCACACAGCCGGGCATATGAGATCCATTTATCTCAACGCACGCCACCTGCAGGCCCCTAGAGCTTTAAACGTATCAATGACTTGGGACAGGGCTGCTGCACCAGGTTTACACATGGATAGTCAGAATCCTTCTCAGAATAGACATTGCGAGTTGAATGGTGGTGGTGTTTACCCAGAAAACTGTGGGCGGGCTTATCCTCCACGACGCGGATCCTCCGAGCTCCAGCCGGGATGACAGCAGCTTCGATGTAACCTGGAACAAAAGACAGACAGGTGAACAACCCCTCCACCCCCGATCCGAGGCCCACGCAGCACCCTGCACCTATCTCCCCCAGGGTCATTTCAGAGATCGTGGACTGGCTGAGCTCTGAGCAATCCGGCCACCTCACTGGGAGTTCCCCTACAGCCGAAACCTCCTGGCCACCCAATTCCCAGAAAGCTCCCTTGGCTGGGACCAGCAGTTAGCGTAATGGCTATGTCGCCGGACTCCCCTGTAGGCGACCGCCGGACCTGGTGGCTTAAACTCACGCCGGGCGCGTGTGCGTGCGTGCCCAAGATCCTGAGAGGAGAATGGAGGAGAAGGGATGGCGGTGTGGCCATCCCCCCTGGGGGGTGATTTCTCGCTTTCTGTCTCTATGTCTCTGTCTGTCTGTCGAGTGCATGCACTCTATAGCAAAAACCTCTCAAAAAAAAAAAAAAAAAAAAGGAAAAAGAAAAATAAAAAGAAAGCTCCCTTGGCATGTTTTGAACGATGTCCCCCTCAATCCGTAGGTCAAAATGCTAATTCCCAGGACCCCACAATATAACCTTACTTGGAAAAAGGACCTTGGCTCACGAATTTAGTTGAGATGAGGCTATATCGGAATAGGTGCTCATCCAATGAAAACACTGACCTTATGCAAATATAAATAATTCTGCTTTCTCCCTGTTGAGTATTTTAATAATACAGATGAACCTGGAATCCTCTTCATCCTATTCCTCTGTTAGAAACACCACACGCATGGTGTATGTTTATTTCTATATCTTACTATTTATACAGATACACACACACACACAAAGTAAAAATAGACTGTGTGGTACTTTTCTTCCTCCCCTCCTCTTCCTTCCTTTTAATTTTTTTTTTTTTTTGGACAGGTTTTTGCTATAGGGCTCGTGCGCTCGCCAGACAGACAGACAGAGAGAGACAGAGAGACAGAAAGCGAGAAATCACCTCCCAGGGGGGATGGCCACGCCGCAATCCCTTCTCCTCCATTCTCCTCTTGGGATCTTGGGCACACATGCACACGCACCTGGCGTGAGTTTAAGCCACCAGGTCCGGGACGCGAACTGCGGTCAACTACGTGGGAGTCCAGCGACATAGCCATTACGTCAACTGCTGGTCCCCTTCCTTTTAGCTGTCAGAAGGCACATCAGAGAGAGAGAGAGACAGACAGAGGGAGGGGGAGAGGAGAGCAGCCCCAATGGCGTGTGGTCATGCCACAACCCCTTCTCCTCTGGCTATCCATCCCATCAGGATGTCAGACATGCACACAGGTGCCCAGTGTATGTTTCAAGCCACCCGGGCTGGGATTTGAACTGCCATGTAGAGTCCAGCTCCCTTAATCACTAGACCACAGGGCTGACCTGGCATTTTCACATTTATATTTGCCTATACGTTACAGAAATGTTAGAAGTCACATTCTAACTCAACATTGTATTACACTACATTTGCTATTTTTCTGTGTGTGTGTGTGTGTGTGTATGTGTGTGTGTGTGAGTGAGAGACATTTTTGCTAAAAGGTGTGTGTGCTTGCCAGAGACAGAGACACAGAGAGAGAGAGAGAGATACCATCCCCAGGGGGGATAGGCACGCCACAATCCCTTCTCCTTCATTCTCCTCTTGCGATTTTGGGCATGCATGCACACGTACTCAGAATGTTTCAAGTCACTTGGTCTGGGACTCGAATTGTGGCTGGCCATGTTGGAATCCAGCGCCTTAACCACTATACCACCTGCTGAGCCCACATTTGTTATCTTTAAAAACACATCTTGGAGGGACCATCAGTTAGCGTAATGGCTATGTCACTGAACTCCCATGTAGTAGAGCGCGGTTCAAGTCCCGGACCTGGTGGCTTAAACTCACGCCGGGCGCGCGTGCGTGTGTGCCCAAGATCCTGAGAGGAGAATGGAGGAGAAGGGATTGCGGTGCGGGCATCCCCCCTCGGGGGTGATTTCTCGCTTTCTGTCTCTCTGTCTCTCTGGTGAGCGCACGCGCCCTATAGCAAAATCCTCTCCAAAAAATAAAAAAACACGCACACACATCTTGGAGACCATCTATGAAGAGCTCTATTCCATTCTTTGCTTAAATTGCTATTTAGTTCACATAATTACTCTTCTGTGATCGCACATTTAGGCTGTTTCAAGATTTTCACTGTACGAAACAATGTCCTATATGAATATGCACCTAAGTCGCTCAACAAAATCCCAGCCAATCGAATCTAGCAATGTCCACAGAGGATTATAAATTACGATCCAACAGGATACATCCCCAGAATGTAAGCTTGGTTAAACGCATGCAAATCCGTGTAAGCTACCATACTAATAAGCAGAAACTACATTATCATTTCAACAGGGGCAGGAAAAACATTTGCGAACAATCCACATTCCTGCATTATGAAAACATGAACAAACAAACAAACAAACTAGGAAAATAAGGGAAGTGCATTAACCTGATAAAACGCAGCTACAAAAACAAAACAAAAACAAAACAAAAACAAACAAACAAACAAAAAAACCCTACAGTAATGGATTAATGGAAATACCGCAAGTTTTCCTTCTAAGATTGGGACCAAGTCAAGGATGTCTTGCTGCCTCTATTCAATGTAGTACTGAGAGTTCTGTCCAAGGCTGTTCAGCAAGACAAATAAATAAATAAAAGACACAGATATTGCAAACAAAGAAGTCGAGTTATCTTATTTGCAGATGCTGAGACCTCATACAGAAAGAAAACCCTAAGGAATCCACTAAAAAACTATTAAAACAGATACAGCAAGTTTGGAAGACACTAGGTCAATACATTAAAAAAAAAAAAAAGTCAACCCCCCCCCCCCCTTTTTTTTTCAACCCCAAACGCCTGCG